GCTGCGCTCTGCTCTGCGGCGGCTCCCAGGGAAGCTCTGGGGGAGGGGAGAGCAAAGCCAGCCACTCACAGAAACAGTAGTGAAATCTCCCCAACACTTTAACTGTCAATCAGGCTTAATGGGGTATAAAACCTCCCCAGCGCCGCGGCTGTGATAGGCAGAGAGCGCAATAGGGAGAAATGACTAAGGAGCCGGAGCTGAAACAGTGCACGGCATAATTCCTGCTCTGTGGTCACAGATACTCCAAGTGAAAAAAGCAGGAGAGGGGGCAGGCAGAGGCAGTTAGCAGCTCAACCTTTGCAACCGGCTCGGGACAGAACGTCTATCGATATTTATAGAAAAACAAAACAAAACCAACAACCTTACCCTGAATAGACCCTTTCTTAAAAAGAAAGTCCTGGCAATTCTGTCTTATTTAAGCAATTTCCTGAGTCTAAGAATAGAAATGAGCTGCCTGGAAGGCACTGCAGGCTGAAATTTGGAGTCATAGGCTGCTTTATTTTCTTTTTTTTCCGAGTATAAAACCCTTCAGTTTGGATACTGGATTTTTCTGCCGGTCTTTGAAACGGGGGGATGTATGGTTACTTTTAATTTGACTTTTTTTTCTCTCTCTTTAATTTAAAAAACTGTCTTCCAGTTAAAAAGGAAGGAACCGTTTTACCTGCATGTGGCAATCCCAAAGGACACCACCGATCAAGAAAGAGGGGAGCAACTTGGTTTCCTGCACTGTTTTGCTCCTACCCCACTTTTTTTAGCGGGGGGAGAAGGATTTTTTTTTTCCAGCCCACGAACCTCTTGCCCCCAAGTTTCGGAAGGGGGTTGAAGACTTGTCACCCATCTTGGGGGTGTATGAAGGGTTTTGGTTTTCTTTCTCTGTCAATTTGGCTCTGTGAAGGCTTGGAAGAGTCTTTTGCCTCCCTGCCTTGCCTGGAACAAGAGGATGATTTGGAAATGGCTGGGCGCTTTGCTGCTTTTCCCCGTGCAGATGGTTTATTTGGTGGTGAAAGCTGCCGTGTGCCTGGTGCTGCCGCCCAAGCTGCGAGACCTGTGCGGGGAGAGCGTGCTGATCACCGGAGGGGGCAGAGGCATCGGCCGCCATCTGGCCAGGGAGTTTGCTAAACGCGGAGCCAGAAAGGTGAGCAGCGCTCGGAGGGGATGGGGCCGGGG